TTTTTTTTTTTTAACCTACATTTTGGTGCCTATAAAAAAATTAAAATGGTTAACAAACTTTATATTAAAGATAAAAGAGCTAAAGTCAATCCTCACTACATACCACACTATTCTGGCCTTGTGCCAAATTAAGCTAATTTCAGCCAATATCAAATTATAAACTTGTTGAACTCACCGGATCTACAGTCTTTGGGTTCAAAATGAAAGATGGACGGGGATTTTCATTATTAAAGTGATGATGTTACTTAGAGGTATTGCACTCGAATTGCCAAAATTTGACAAAGTTGAAACATTAAATTGAAAACTAACGAAAATTCCAGCAAAAATTTTTTTCTGCTGGTGTCCTGTTTTGCGACATCCTTGCAAGGACTAGTTTCAATATTATAGCTGCTTTGATATCTATATATAAAATTTTCACGTGGCCCCTTTTTTGGTACCAGCATTAATCTGAGATGCTTGCAAATGACTGGCTAATGTCCATTTCTTGTCTGTTCAAGAAAAAAAGAAGATGTTTTCCAAACAAGATACTACCTGTCTGGAGAAACAGTTTTTAAAATAAAAATCACAAAGTGCCCAATAAAATAATTTGGTCTGGGCTTAGGAATTCAAACACTTTGAAAATCAGATTCTCACATTCCATAGAAATGCCTTGAGCACAAGAACCTAAAAGAAAGATGAGAGTAAAGATGAATAATATAGAATAACAGTATCAGAGGTCACCAATATCTGAGGTCACCAAAAACTGAGAATGATCCTTTTAAATATTCTATGTATATTTTATAGCATCCTCAAATTATGAAGTATTTAGATAAATATACACAAACAAAATTTTTTTATATATAATAATAATAATAAATCTGATAAATACATGCAAATTAAGAGAATTCAACATATTTTTCAGGTTAGCAAAACGTCTGGAAAAAAAATTCAATATATATATATATATATATATATATATATATATTTTAAATTTAAAAATAAAGTTTTTTTTAACTACAAAAAAAACATTAAAATTTATGTTTCAAAAAATGGAAGCTAAAAGCCATATATATATATATATATATATATATATTATAGATTAAAATATTTAAAATTTATATATAATTAAAATATATATATAAAATATATATAATTAATATATATATATATAATTAAAATATATAATTAATTGATTTAATATATATATATATTATAAATTAATTGATTTAAAATATGTTTTTTTTTCGCTACACAGTTCTAACCATGTTTCAAAAATGGAAGCTAAAAGCCATATATATATAAAATTTTATTATAATAACATGAACCCTTAAAAGGTTGACAAAGAGCTCTTCCTGGATCTATAACTTTCTTTTTGGAAATATTCACACTGGTTACCTATATTATCATTTTATATATATATATATATATATATATATATATAATTTTATTATATATAACCATGAACCCTAAAAAGTTGACAAATTACCTTCCTGATCTATAACTTTAATGGAAATATTCAAACTGGTTACCTATATATATATAAATATATATATATATATATATATTTATTAAAGACATTTTTATGTTTAACGTTCTTTTTATAGATACAAGTATTTAAGAAAATGCTCTGTTTATAATAAACAGTATTAAATAACATTTACCGCCTGAATGTCCTAAAAATTTTCTTTCAGAAAATATTCGTCCTTTGACAGGATTCGAACCTGCATCCTATACGGAACCGTCATTTATTTGACGTGCCTTAACTCTTTTATAAAAGGATCGTTCGTTAAATTTGAATTTATTGCTTATAAACTTCAATCTTCCATGAATCTCGTACATTCATAACTGCTCTGGCGTATCAAAATGTAAACAAATGAATTTATATATTATAAACTTCAATTTTCCACAACAGTAAATTTCGACCTTTTTATTAACGCTCCTTTGTGGCCGATAAGGTTAGGCAAGTCAAATAATTAAATGACGGTTCCAAATAGGATGCAGGTTTGAATCCTGTCAAAGGACGAATATTTTCTATGAAAATTTCTCAGACATTCAGGCCGGTAAATGTTATTTAATACTGTTTATTATAAACAGAGCATTTATTAAATACTTGTATCTATAAAAAGAACGTTAAACATAAAATGTCTTTAATAAATAAATTGTTGGACTTTGTCCATTTCTTAATATATATATATATATATGTATGTATATGTGTGTAATAATAAAAATAAATTTATACACAAAGAAATTAAAACTTATAAAAAATGAGCAGTAAATGATAGGGACGAATAAAAAGAGCTTGTAAAATCCCTAATAGTAACATAGTACAGCCCATGGTATGTCAGAGTTTTCTATTGAGAATGCATAAGAATTGCTATCATTCACTGTAGTCAGAGAAACTGCAACTGTATCCGCTTCCATTGGGAGCTACATCAACCAGCTATCATGTGACTCTCAAAGGCCCTTTAAGACTTTAGTATCATTCTGTTAAAAGGGAGATAATCGTCTTCTACATACCTACACTTGTAAATCATTTTCCTGATACATTACATAATACTATTTTTCTTGCAATCATATAAATTTATCAGTCTATTTTTTTTTTTTTATTTAATTATAAACTTAATTTTGTTTTCTGTTAGCTTGTAATTTGGATTTCTAATTTTAAATTGTCAAATCTTTTCAAAGTCAATTTTAGTAAAATATTTATTACTTTATACCAATCTTTGGCAATATAGAATTATAAACAAAAATAAAGTCTTGCCACAGATTTTTGTTTTTCCAAAATTCTATTAACTTTGAATCCCAAAAAGTGAACACTTTTTTGAATGGGGTCCTAAATAGATTTTGTAATTTCCTAAAATAAAACATGCAAATTGAACAATTTTCCTGTTTCTATGAGTTCAGCAGAAGTTAGTCATAAATTGCATTTCAGACTAGATATTTCGTTTTATTTCTGGTGTAATGTAGGTTGTGACTCTATAGACTTCTTTTTTTTTTTACTTATTTATTCTTGTTTTTTTTTTTCCAATTTTGAGACATTGATAAAAAGCATGTTGAAATTGATCTTTAGCTTTTACTTATGAAAAAATAGTTAAAACACCTATTGACGCTAACGTTTTATTCCGCATATATGACTTTTCATATGGACAAAGGTGTTTCGTTTAAGAAATTAACTTGCGATGGAATTTAACAAATGTGGTATTTGATATAAGGTTAAAAATCCGTTTGAAACTATCTCACCTACATATTTTAAAAATCAATTTAGCAATTTGTGTAATTTATAATGATAAAACAAAAATCTGTTCATTGTTTAATATTTTGGTTTCCCGGAAGTAGTACAGTAATTAAAAAAAATAAATTTTACAATACAGTAGACATAATTATTGTTAAGAAAGATAAGGACTTTAGTCTGGCTGTGTAGTGTATAGTAATTTCACTGCCTTCTTATTGCAATTTTTTATATTTTATTTTAAAAACGAATGTTGATTTTTTTTTTTTAATGCGATTAAAAAATATATAAAAGCTAAAAAAATCATTTTAAAATGAAAATAGACACTACTATTGATCCGATTATAGATAGAGAAAGTTCTTGGAAATAACTTTTTAGCATTTTTTTTAGTCTTCCTTAAGCCGAAGCGGCAACATTTGTCAGAATCAAAGTATATTGTTTTTTTGTGTTTTTTTTTTTAAATCATTTAAGAAAATGGTTTTCTCCATAATGGCAATACAGTGTAAACATGAGTTTTAGTTTTTCGCTTAAAAACTGTATTTTTTTTTTTTTACTTTTTTTACAAATGTCAATTTTGTTATTTTCCTTATCATTGACATCTGCGTACGAAAACAAATATATTTTTTTTTAATTTCACAAAAAGATTTTATTTTTAAATAAAGAACAAACGGTTCCATTTTATGTGTAAAAATATTTTAATTTTTTAAACAAGCATATTTTTAAATTTTAATTATTTAATTAAAGAACAAAAACAAAAAAGTACAGAAAAAAACTATGAAGATATTTAAAATGACGAAAGCATATTTGTAAATAAAAAAAACAAAACAAAGTAAAACTAGTCTAAAAAAGTCAGGGATCGATATGATGACACTTTGACTTATCGATTAAGAACAGGACTCCTCTCTAAATCGATCAAAACAAAATCAATATTTTTCTATTCTGACAGATGTCACGACTTGAGGAAGGTAAATAAATACTAATCTACAACAATTAATCGCCAGAAAAAAAAAAAAGTTTTGTACGAGTGGACCACTCTATTTAAGTAGTGCCTGAAAATATAGAAAAACAAAATCTTATTTTCTGACACCGAAATCAGTTGCTAAATAATAAAATTGTGATTAGAATATGAAGCCAGATAAAAAACAAACTTGTTTTAAGTTAGAACAAAGTGAGTAAATGTTTTTTTTTTTGTCCTTCTTTGCACCTTTTTTAAACGGAGGGTGTTTAATTGTCAGACTCAGATTAGAAAAGAAAATTGTTGTTAATGACGACAACACATAAACAACAAAAAAAAAAACAAACAATTCAACGTAATTATTGTCACCATATTGAGATGTCGCTCTAATTGCCAATATTATTCAGTATTTGAAAACAAAAATAAGAAACCAGGGTCCAAAATAATTGTTACATTTATAAAAAAAAAATCATTTAAATTTTCTTCTTACGGTTACTGATTATTTAATGACTGCTACTCGTCCGCAGTCGATGTTCGGTGAAGGCGGTGCATGGGGAAAATATATTCCTCGTGTATATTATGACAATGTTATTTTGAACTTTTCTGAATTACTAACTACTGTTTGATATGTGTCCACTAATATTTTCACCAGTATTTAAACTACTGTCATAGAATTAAGCCCCTTGCCTTAATTTCTGAGAAGTTTTCTTTACTTTTCGAAATTTTGTACTAATTGCCATAAAACATTGAAACATGCATTGCTAATATTAAAAAAAAAAGCTTTTTAGTTTCTGTTTTTATATCAATTTTTTGATACCTAGGCTTAAAATAGATCAAATGATTGATATGAAATATCCGACAAAGTGAAAATAAAAATGAAATAAAAGAAAACATTAACAATGAACATGTTTTTTTTTATTTACCATTCCACAGCACTGATTTGTGCTTTCTTTTTGTTTCTTTCCATATCTATCTATCTACCTATCTATCTACCTATCTTTTCTACATCCATCTAAGTCTTTTGATATCTATCTATCTATCTTTTCTACATCCATCTAAGTCTTTTGATATCTATCTATCTACCTATCTTTTCTACATCCATCTAAGTCTTTTGATATCTATCTATCTATCTATCTATTCTACATCCATCTAAGTCTTTTGATATCTATCTATCTATCTATCTATTCTACATCCATCTAAATCTTTTGATATCTATCTATCTATCTATCTATCTATCTTTTCTACATCCATCTAAGTCTTTTGATATCTATCTATCTATCTATCTGTCTGTCTTTTCTACATCCATCTAAGTCTTTTGATATCTATCTATCTATCTATCTATCTGTCTGTCTTTTCTACATCCATCTAAGTCTTTTGATATCTATCTATCTATCTATCTATCTGTCTGTCTTTTCTACATCCATCTAAGTCTTTTGATATCTATCTATCTATCTATCTATCTATCTATCTATCTATCTATCTATCTATCTGTCTTTTCTACATCCATCTAAGTCTTTTGATATCTATCTATCTATCTATCTCCGATCTATCTATTTGTCTTTTTCATCCATCTATCTATTTTGATACATCTATCTATCTTTTTTATCTATATTTGTCTTTTGATATCTATCTATCGATATCTATCCTGGTCTTTTCTATATCTATCTCAGTCTTTTGATATCTACCTATCTATATCTAAGTCTTTTGATATCTATCTATCTATCTATCTATATTTAACTCTTTTGATATTTATCTATTTATCTAAGTCTTTTGGATATATCTATCTATATCTAAGTCTTTTGACATCTATCTATCTATCTATCTATATCTAAGTCTTTTGACATCTATCTATCTATCTATCTATCTATATATATATATATATATATATATATATATATATGTCTTTTAATATCTATCTATATTTAAGTATCTAAGTCTTTTGATATCTATCTCAGTCTTTTCTATATCTGTCATTTGATATCTATGTTTTTTTTATCTATCTATCTATCTATCTAAGTTTCTTCACTTATCTCATTTAGACCATTCTATCTTAGACTATCACATTTCTCCGTTTTCTTTAACTATCGAAAGAAATTAGGAACACAACACTTATTTTGGCAAAGGAAAAACAAAAAAATATTGCTTTTTCTTCAACTCTATGAGTTTTATCGGCATGTTTAAGTGGGACATTCCTATTTAAAATGTAGAATTTAAATTGGAAAATCTTGTATTCAAATTTCACAATAAAACTGTTTTCGTAATGAATTTAAAATTAAATTAAATAATAATTATTTTAATAACTCATTAATTAATGTTAATTGGAAAAATAAGAAAAATATTAAAACTATTTATTTTATATTTAGATCTTTAAACGTATTTTGAAGTTATTATTTTTTTAATCTAGCTAGATTCTAGAATTTTCAAAATATTATTTTCCTCGTAGCACTTGTCAGTGAATGAAATTTATTTACGGGTGTTTTTTGTTTCTTTTTTTTTTTTCAGCAACGAAGCTTAAAAATATAGACTATTTGCTTTTTCGTTGAATTTTATTACGAATAATAATTATTATCTTTTTTTCTACAAATGAGGACAGAAACTTCTAAAAACGTTCTTTTTTCACCATTTTTTTATATTTGAACGGAAATAGACGAACAAAATCAATCGTTTCAAATCATTTGTTATTTGGCCATTTTTTTTCTATACAGTACAGGCAAAAATTAAGTTTAACCGAATAGTTAGCGTTTTCTCGAAAAAAAAATATTAATTATTAACTCATAAACAAATAATTAAAAAACAAAACCTACACATACTCTCTCAATTGAATTTCATTCAATATACCATTTTTCTGCAACGCCGACTACCAAACAAAACATCATTATTATTATTGATATTATTATTAGTAGTAATGGATTAATTAAATTATGCTCAATAGTTTAAATGTGTTAAATATTAAATAAAGATTAGAGTTTTAGTGAAATATTTTTAAGATAAAGAAAAAAAACTAATAGAATCGGGATGGTAAATATTAACTCCGCATTCGATGTTGCCGGAAATGTACGAAGATAACCGAATGTGACCAAATCTCTAAACTGCAGTAAAGAAAAGACAGTAAGGGTCGGATAATTAGCGACGATCGTCCACTTTTATCCCAGTTCGTCTCGATGTTATTTTATAATGGATCCAATCGAGAAATTTGCTGCCTCCCGCGCATTTTCGAGACAGTAGCGACGGGACAAAGCGAGTGTCGTCTGCTTCATTCATTTCTTGACTCTCATTATGGCGGCAATAGTGGACGATCCTCCTTCGTGTGGGCTGTGCGCAGGAGAAGCTGATTCAACATGCCGAATGCTTCCATGCCAGCATTTCTACTGCACTGAATGCATTTTGGATCATTTTAGGGACCAGAACCGCGGAGAAGATTGTCGTAGGGGTCGTTTTGTGTGTCCCTACTGTACAAGAGCTTTACCTGTCAACATAGAAATCCCTCCAGTTGCGACCGAAGTGAATGGTGATATAACTGGAAACGAAGATGAAGAAAAACTTAATGTCGCCGACGGTTCTTACTGTGATATATGTCCCCAATCGAAAGGTTTACCCACCGTCTGTCCACACAAGCAGGGTCTCTGTCAAAATAAATCTCTTTCTTCGTTACAAGATCAACACCCACCGTCTTCTCTTTCTTCTTCATCTTCGTCGTTGTCGTCTGCCTCGTGTCACACCCATCGTCTGCCTATTGATAAATTTTGTCCCGATTGTGCTGTTTGTCTGTGCGACGGTTGCTGGAAGGGACACGGTAGCCCCAAAACCTGTCCACCGCCACTACCTTTGTCTGTAGCCGTCACAAAACGCAGAACAGAAGCCCGTTCCTTGCTGGACAAGGCGGAAGCCTCAGAGACGAACATTTCCTTCTACAAGGATGAATTTCACCGGCAGCTTGAGTCCCTTAATGAAAATATGCTTACCACCAGCGAAAATATTTGGTTCGAAGTCGAGTCTCTGGTTTCGTCCCTTCGGACTAAAGCACGTCACCTCATCACCGAAGTTGAACTCGCAACAGAAACAGAAAAATCACAACTTGAAGGAAAAATGGCAGTTTGCGACGGTCATTTGGAAGAAGTTCAAGACCTGAAGTGTCAGCTGTCCACCCTGATGTCGCAGACTGGTGGTCATCAACTAGTGAACAATTACCCAAGTTTAGAATCCCGGTGGGAAACCTTAAACAAATGTATCAAAGATATAAAAAGTCACAACCAAGTGTGTGTGACGGCTGAATTTGATGCGGACTATAGACAAACGAGGGAAAAAATTAAAACCCTAACAATGGGACGGGTTCGGTTGACTTCTAAAACAACCCCAGCACCTTCGGATCGTCCTTTACAAAAAGCTCCGAAATGGAGACACGAAACTGCAGTTCAGTGTATTTTAGACATTGGGGATGACGGGTTTTCTAATCAAGATCGTTCCCCTGAATGTGGACCGTCGTCTCCTAGCAGGAAAATCCCATCTTTAAGTGATCTGATTGAGTGGCCTTTGGTAAAAAGCACAAGTTATATCACCGGGTTGACAGTTAGCGAGGACCGCCATATCTTTGTGTCTGACTGTCACAAGCAGAAAATATTGGAGTATAGCCCCGAGGGTTGCCTGTTGTGCCATTGCCAAACGCCCAGCCCTCCTTACGACATCTGCGCCATTTCGCCAGCACGTTTTATGGTGGTATTACCTTGGCAGTGTGAATTGATGCTTTTGGAACGATCTACAGACAGTAAACCGTTCGAGATTGATCTTATTGTCTCGACTGGCGAGAAAAGGTATTACTCCCTGTGTAAAGTCGGCTCCACCATTTTAGCCTGTGATTGGTGCACCAATGTGGATATCCTCACTTCGCAAGGCCGGATTCTTGCATCTGTTCTCGGCTCTAGGGATATCAGTTACCAGGGTTGGGTTCATAGGATCTGCCCTGGGTTGCGACCCGACGTCTTTTGTCTGCTAGACTGGGAAACCCAGACTGTGTCTACATACGACCTGAGGGGCACCCTGCTATTGTCCCGTCCGACTCCGTCTGCCCCTGCACTAGGCCCCACAAACGATATTTGCTTTGACAGTTCTGGTCGTCTGTTTTGCTGTGATGTTGATGGAATTTATTGCATTAATGAGACGGGGTTAATCAGTACGTTGTGGTCATTCGAGGCCAAACTCAGTCATTACCCCCGTATTGCACTTGGACCTCGGCACCAGTACCTTTTTGTTTCCTGTAAAGTTGGTCGCAAATATAAAATTAGGACTTTTAAAATTTCCTGAGCCATTTTGTCAAAGGTAAAAAAAAAAAAATACTAACAAAAAATATATCATGAAAAAAAAGCACCTTCTAAAATCTTATTTTTTTATTTTCCTTCTTTTTAAATTTTGGTTAATAACTTGATACAGCTCAAAAGAATAAACTAAAAAAGTATATATTTCACTTTGAATCCGTGTTTTGTTGGCCACACGAAAAGTAAATATAATTTTAAATACATATCTAAATCAAAATTTGACAAGCAAATTCACTTGAAAACAATAACATTTAATTTTATATTCTTTATGATAAATTTGAAAAAAAAATAACGTAAACAATCCATTATAAACAGAAAATATTATTTTCAATTTATACGTAATTTTTATTGATACAATTGATGAAAATAAAAAAAGATAAATGCTCTGTTTTTAATAAACAGTATTAATTACAAATTATTAATTAAAAACAGACCATTTACTTAAAAATCAATTGTATCTAAAAACAACGTAAAGTAAACAGAAAATTAATTGTCGAACTTGATCCATAATGTATAGTGTAATGAATGTATTAATGTAATGTGTTACTGTTATATATATTACATAATTTGCTATATATATATATATACACACGCACACACACACACACACACTACAGTTCAAAAGTAGTGCTATACTACAGTTCAAAAGTTTGAGGAACCCTGCCTTGGTAATTTTTTAAATTGACCCAAAAAGTAATTGTTTTGTACTTTAAATTAAATAAGAGCAAATTATTATGATTAAAAAAGTGAGACATGATTTTTGATTATAAATTTTATTATGAAAAAAAAAAAAAAAAGCATTATTTTTATGATTAAATTTTGCTCTCGTCAAAATCTCCTTTAGCCTTCTTGATTACTGCAACAAAAATGTTTGCCATTCATTGTAAAAGTTTCTAAAAGTATAAGTTTGATAATTGATTCCATTCTTTTTTCAATGACTCTAAAGAGATCTTTTTCATTTTTTTCACTCTTCTCTCAAGAATTTCATCCTATGCTAATTCAAGGGTTTGGCTTCAAACCTTTGAACTGTAGGATATATATATATATATATATATATATATATATATATATATATATATATATATATATATATACCAGAACTCACTGTGCATTATTTTATATTTATATAATGTATTATATATATATATACATACACACACATATATATATATATATATATATATATATATATATATATATATAAATATAAATATACATTTTCCTCACCAGTAGCACAACATTGAGTAATTGTCAGGTGCAGATTGAAAACATAGTGTGGACATTGGAATCAACACTGCATATTAACTGTCAGTTTCACACCTGACTATGATCTTGGTCCGAAGATCATATGGAGGCATGAAACTGGTCAGTTACCATGAAAAGTTGATTCCTATGTGCATACTTTCTATATCTTTTAAAATATATTCAGTCTCTGATATTGAGCACCCTTTCCCTATAAATACAGCAAATATTTAACAATATATATATATAATGATTTCAAATTGTCACAATCACAAGTTTCTTTAAGTAAAGTCTTCATAAATAACTGGTTCTTGATTTAATGTAAAAATAATAGTTTGTTCTAAGGAGACTTTTAAGTACTTCATTTTTAAAGGTGCTTTTTTATAATGATATAAAATTTAAAAGGAAAAAATTAAATCAACTTTTGGCAGTTTTTTTGTTGAAATTTATCTTTTATTTATTTATTTTCTTTTCAAATTGGCCGAACTTTACTTGTCTATGTGTGAAAGGGAAGAAAAAGGTTAATTTTTACAAAATTCTTAAAGATTTTATTTTATTTTTGACAACTTTTGTTTTTTATTTATTTTATTTATTATATTTTTGTTATTATTTTTTTGTTTTTATCATTTGTGATGATTTTTATTTCATTAATCCAATGGAATTTTTTTTTTAAATGTTCATTTCCTTCAGTATTGATTAAAAAAACGATTCTCTCTCTCTCCTCAGGAGAAAAAATGTTTTTTCTATACCAAATGATCTCATTATTTAAATGTAATTTTTGAAGTTTATTTTTTAAAAGATTACCTTCAAATTTTCATTTTACTGCTTCAAATAGCAATATGCACACACTTATAGATATATATGCATAGACACATACACACACACACAGACATTTTCTCTCTCCTCCTCTTATACATGCACATACATATACACACATACAATCATATAATTATCAACTAAGCTTTACTTACTCCAGCGTAAGACCTGTAGCTGATTTAGGCCTTTTGCCAGACTTAGTAAATAACACACACATACACATATAAAGGTGATTATCCAGGAGAAAGGGACTGTATGTTCGATTCCTGACATAAGGTATATTTATTTATGGGCCAGGCCGTGTATATTTGGATCAGTGGAAACAGGGCAAACAATAACTCAGCAATACTAAAAAAATAAAAACTAAATAAGATATCCTTAGACATGGACAATGGAATGAGAACAATCTATCCCCATAGATTAAATAAAGGGTTCAGTTCAAAATTACTTGTAGGTTACCTGGGTTTGAATAGCATCTGAAGAAGGCCAGAGTATACAACAGCCAAAATGTGATAACAACAACAACAAAGATGAGGACAATAGTCTGCATTTAAATAATATAAATAAAAAGTCTATTCAGTGCTTTTTCTGATGCTAAATACAAAAAAGGAATTTAAAATTTTTAATGACTAAATTTGTTCAGTTTTCTTTCAATTAAATCAAAATTAAAACTTTCAAGAAGATATTTAAATTTATTAAAATTTTTACAATATGCTTTAAAACGTGTTTTTTTGGTTTTTTTTTAAATTACCATGAGATCAATTTTTTACTTAAAAACAGAAAACTTATCCCCAAATTTAATAATTCTGAACATCATGTAAAGAGATGCAGAAAACAATTTAATACCTGCTTAAGGTGATTTTCTAGGAGTGGCTTAGATGTGGCACAAGTCTGAAAGTATGGTACACCCAGTGAGGATCAAACTTGCTACTCAGTCATAATTGATCTAGCGATATAAGCTTGCTAACAATTACACTACATTGAGGTGCCTCTAAAGCCTGCTTAAGTAGACAAAAGTAATTTTTCTTATGTCATTTTATTTGGATAAATTTGGAGCTACATACACAAAATTTGAAAGGTTATTTCTAACACTCTTAGACATGAACCAAAATGTAGTATGACATGTTTTCTGTTTGATTGATTCATTTATTTTCTAAGGCTTATCAACCCAGGCTATTTAAAGCCAGAAAATATTTTTAGATTGTAAGAATTTTTTTGGAGATAATAATAATTTTAGTGATAGAAGTTTTACTAATTAACCCATAGCTGGGGGGAGAAGAGATGGATTGCTACCTTTCACAATAGTATTTGCACTTAAGTAACAAAACCCAACTGGAATTAGAACTCAGTCCTCTGATGAAAATTCCAAGCCATTATCCATTTCACCACCTGCACATCCAAGCTTACAGCACTTGATATTGGAGTTATGTACACAAAATTTGAAAAGTTGTTTCTAACACTTTTAAGCCAAAAGATATGTGACATGTTTTGTATGTAACAATACTTGTGTGTCTGCCTGTCTGTTCATATATGGAACTACTGCTACTGCAAAATCACACACCATGAAGGCATTGAGCCCACAAGAGCCACCTTGCCTCGCCAGCTCTCATGGTCTTGGCAGACATGTTGGGACATCCTCCAGTGGCAGATTAATCTGCTGGAGGTCTTGGCAGACGATGTCCTTCCAACAGCTGCTTGGTCTGCCATGAGGTCATTGCCAGTTTGCAGCTCAACTTGCACCAGTGCTACCTCTCCTATGTCACATGGTTAGATACCAAGGTGGTAGCCCCAAAATATGGCTAGCCTGCATTTGGCCAGGTGAATCTTTCTATTGTTATGATATCCACCAGAGATATGATATGATTATTGTTATGATATCCACCAGGTAGCACTTTGGAATAAAAAAAAAACTGACTTTTTCTAACACTTATTTTTCACTGTATTTAAGCTACACTGTTTGAGTCTGTTTCTAATGATCTTACAAAAGACAACTACAGCATTACATTTGGTTTGAACCTGCTAGTCAAATTTACAAAACTTTTGGCTCTTATCACATAAGTATGGCACATGCACACATGCACAAGTTTGATTAAAGGAATTTTGGCAATGTTTAAACCTATGTACCTGCAAAAAAAAAAACCGGTGTGTCAAAAGACATTGCTATTACTGTATACACTTTTGACTCTATTAGTCATGTTTATTGTTTTAAAAAACAGTGATTAGAATATAATTAGACCCAAATATATGAAAGTGGATTTATATATTTTCTTTATTCTTGAGAATTGACAACAAAGATATTAAATGCTATTTATTTATTAGATTGAATAAAAAAAAAAAAACTTGTTTTTATAATTATTTATAAAATAGTGAATAATAAATACTGTATTGTCATTGGTTTACATATTTTTGTTTTGTAAATTTTTTATAAATTCTTGAACCAAAAAATTGCTTTTCAAATTTATTTCTTTATAGAATGGTAAAAAATAAATATTTACAAAAGGTAAATAATAAATTTCACATTGTACTTGGTTCACATATTTTTATAATCTTGTAAATAAATATTGCCAAGTGAGTCATAAATGCATACAATAATAGCAGTGTCAAGGGAATAACCGTCCTTTTGACGCACACCATTTTTTTGTGGGTTATGAAGGTTAAACATTAATGGAAATATTTGTATTTAAATTTTTTCTTAACATTTGTTGTTTATGTACAAAAGAATACATGTCTGGATTCAACAGATGTAAATATTATTCAGACATTTGGGATCTAATCCCTTCAATCCTTTATCAAGAAAATATTTTGGATTCAGACATGGATTCTTTTGCATGTAAACAAAAGTTTGTTAAAAAAGGAAGATAAACATTCTTTGTTTATCATCTTTAATCAAACATGTATTAATGGTTGATTATACATTGTAGTAGATGTGTG